TAAACTAATGAAAAATTTCCGAAATGAACTAAAGAAAAATTTGCGAACATCACATCGAAAGCTCGGGCATTAAAACTTAAAAAAATACGGAAACATCTCATCGAAAATAATAGTTAATCAGGCAGGAAAACTTGAAAGAAGATTGACGGCAGATAGATGGTGGAGGTGTCGCTCAGCGTTGGTACAGAGGCATGTCGCCCTCGCCGAACTCAGGCAGCATCGGGAAAGGCATTTCGTTGGCGGCTGTAGACAATAATGAATTATGATAATAGCGATATCAGAGTTGATTAAGCAGTTAGGCCTTTCGGACGACTTTAAACATCACAAAGCATTCACACCTTGTTGCGGTCTCGAACACGCAACTCGCTGCTTCAATTTTGCTGTGCTTTAACGGCCGGCCTCCTAGACAATTTGGCCAGAATGGTCGCGAATATCTGGGATCGAACCCAAAACTTCACTGCTCAAATCCTAGTAATCTAAACTGTAACCACTGGGCCACTCTGGATTCATTCAGTCTGATATTCTCTCGTGAAGCTACTCATTAGAATGTCTATTCGTCTTTGTAGGTAATATAAACAAGTGACTGGGTAACGTGGAAAAAGTGTGACGCGTCAACAATAGTCGTACGTCTCAGGTGCATTTTGGTATCATTAGAAATGTGTCACTAAGTGGCGACCGCAGCAATTAAGTGGAATTTATTATATCAATAAACGAGACTTACGTAAATGTCAAGTAATATTATAATATATAATATTAATATATTATAATATTAAGCCCGTAATATAATATCAAGTAATATTATTATAATGCATGCTGTGACCAAAGAAAGTCCATGCATTAACCGTGCATTGTATGGAACTATTACCAAAAAACTGTTATTAAATTATTACGTTAAAAGTATACGCGTCCTAGACGCTTAACTAGAGGCTAGATCTCGGAATGCAAAATCGGAATCAGAGAAGAGTATAGTATGTATATATGCCCATGTGAGTTAACTCGACCGAGTTCAAAATTATTTATTATATCTAGTGAAAATAGTGAAGTTGCTGAACGTTCATATTCCTTTCATCACGTCAAAGAGGTACTAAAAATATATATGACCGATCGCTATCTCTTCCCGAGTTGCATACATGCCCCTGAGCCGCGACTCAAATGCATTATTTAGCAAGTTTTGACGAACAGTTTTAATGGTTGAAGGCAATTGAAAAGAAAATTAAAGCTATTTGAATTTGAAAAGCATGTTACCAGCCAACGAACAAAGGAACTTCATACCTGGATGTGTTATTGACCGCGAATCGAAACTCATGTAATTACCTCATAACCGTGAAGTCGTCAATCGCAATTAAAATTCAACATGGTGACTGTGGTCAAAAAATTTGTTACTACGTCAAGTTTTGATAATTTAGAAGTACGTTCTATTATGCTACAATGGAGAGTTCCTAACATCACTTGGAGAGATATCGCAACACGTCAATGTTTTTAGAAAATTCGGAATACTGACATGACTGTCGTCAGCGACCCTGACACGAGTTTCAATTTGTCAGGACTGCCAATACTTTTACAATGCTCTCTGTGTAGCCAATGGGCAGATGGTGCAGGAGAAGATGGAGGGCAGCAACATTATGTCGTGAGAAAATTTTCCAATTTACACTCCCCTTTCCTATTGACTGATTTAATGCACCAGAAAATTGAAGAAATTATCCGTTGTCTGCCGAATAATTATCTCTCAATTATTCTTTTGGTGCTGCTGTAAGTAAAGGATCGTTTTATCGTGCAATCTATCAACATTTGACTGTCATTAAGTAGCTGAAGTTTGAATTCTCCTGCTGTAGGATTATGATAAGATTTTCCCGGATGCAGCACTGCAGAAAAACAGCAGATAAGGGAGAAAAGGCTGGAAGACACCAAAAGACGGAGGAGATAGATAGGCAAGCACGGTCTGAAATTATATTCTTCATCATTGTTCAGTTACTACAGACACAGTTTTCATCAAATACCAGAGCAGAATACACCGACTACACGAACCTCAAGTTTATACTTAGAGCCAAGCAAAATGATTTGAAAATAAGTACAAGACAATCATGGTGAGAACAACCAAGAAGACACCGATAGAGTCACATGCCAGCCAAGAGCGGAGTTATTATAGATATATGATTTTATTTAAATAAACTCATTTTAATGACAACTGAGATACATAAAATAAATTCATTCTAGCTGAGCCACCGCATGTCCAATATTTCAGATCCAAAGAACTATTTCACATGGTAATGATTTCAGGTTTTATCTAAAATCTTAAATGAAAGGTCGCTCCTATATCACCCAAGCCTAAACTATGCTGTTCTTATGACTTATCTTTATAATCTTGATCATAAATGCTTTACTCGTACATTATCTGAACACTGCAATGAACGTATTGTGCGTCATTGCATTTCGAGGCCCATAATTTAAAAATAACAAATTAATTCAAGTCATAATTCAGTTGAAGAAGCCGCAACAATAACATAGGTTATTCCTCATTAGGATACAATAACATAGGATCCTAATAACAATTAGGATCCTACATCAATTACATTACAGTTCGCCCCCGCAAGCAATCAAATGAGTTATTTACGACGATTCTCGATAGCTTGTGATACAAAAATAAGCGATAAAGAAATACTCAGTGCAAATGTTGAATCGAGAAAAGATGGGCGGAGTTGTGTAATACAAATGAATGATTAAATGAACGACGTTATAGTCCCTACGATAAACGGATTTTTTAAAAGAATGACCTATCAATAACGGTTACTCCTAACGTGAATAATGACATTAGTTTCCACAGCATCAGTCATCGAATAAGTAACCTAAACACAGTATAAAAAATATAAAGATTTCAGGTCAAATGTTAGCGATAACAGACCAGGCGCTCTTCTAAGATAGATATGCATCAGAGAATGAATAATGCCGCTAGGAAATACATAAGAACAGGCATACACTGTTAGAAAAATTACCGTTAACGGTATTACCGGTGTTTCAGTGGCCGGTCGGCACGTAAAAAGGTAACACCGTGTCACCGTTTTTATTCTAATTTAACACTAGAAATCCGTAAAACATCTGATAAAAACGGCGAAACAGTTCATTTTCACGGGGCGACCAGCCACTAGAACGCCAGTGGGACCGTTTTTTCGCCGTTTTTTCTAACAGTGTAGTACTGCAAAAGTACTTCGTTTTTTCAATAGTTTTATAATAAGCACAGCAATTATTGGTAATGATAGAAAAAATTATAGAAAATTGTGCCCAAAATATTCATACAGAATGAGAAATACAACCAAGGCCCTTTGAAGGCGGGCTAATAAAATCACGATCAAATTAATCACTAATCGCCTCTAGATCAGAGTTTTCACTTGTTCGCTATGTAGTTTGATCGTACGTCAAATTTAACAGTAAATAGCATAGAACATCAATCTTTCTAACAAAATTAGACAACACAAACAGTAAAGATTTGTCCAGGAGTTTCCACAGCAACATGAAAAATATACAACTTACATTAATTATCTTCGAAGCAACAACAGGAAATTCGTAAACTCTTCTGCTGAAACCTGATAACAGTTGAGGGCTCAAAGGCATAAATTGAACAAGTGTCTACTGAACAATAATTAATACGTAAATAGTTTCAAACTGATTTACATCAGCATAAAAAGCTTGTATAAAAATTATAGAAGAATTACATCATAAAAATATAGCACAATTGCGACAATTATGTAGGTACCTTAATAACTAGTCTAGTGGCATGGCACAAGTCGAGGTCTGCTACAGAAGGCGCTCTTTACACGCGATCGTAACTCGAAACTGCAGGTGGCAACACCTAAATCTTGGACATCAAATTGCTGATAATTGTTTTCACGAAAATGTCAAAATCGACAAATTTGTATCGGAATATTTAAACATTACAGATTCATTCCATGTTATTAAATCAATGCCCAAAATAGCGTTGCCTCGCAGCAATTGACGGCAAAGACCAAAGTCTTCGTCCCCCCCAAAATAAAAAGTTGTCGGGGATCAAAAATTGCAACTGTGAAGATGAAGCAACGAATGCGCCTAAAATATGTCGCAACATTCTTTCTCTTAAATCATGACAGTAACTGCGCTGCTTCAACTCAAGCAAAATACTAATAATAATAATCAGTTCCCAGACTTTTCTGAAAGACTATATTAGAAATTGTACTCCCAAAATGTAATAACACTCAAATAATTTTATAAAAGAGGAAATAACATTAGAAACCACATACATCCACAGGATTGAGAATGTTACCAAAGATCCAACATTCATCCATACAGAACCGAGGCAGACGTACCAGAAATTATAGAGAACCTAGAATTACCGAAGCTCTAATGCAATAAGAAATGAATGATGAAATAAAATTATTAATAATGAATCTAGATAAATTAAATACAAGAAGACAGTTAAGTGTGAATATTTACTTTGACTAAATGAAGTAATGTCAAGGAAACAAATATAGAACAGGAGATTGGAAACCGAGCAGCAATCTTAATCTTAAAATTTTCATTCCAAGTAGAAAATTACATGCATGAGTAAATTATTTGTGACGCTTCATATAAAATGTCATGCTAGTGAGTTAAGGAAGCTACATGAACATAGCAGCGCGAATATAGCTCAATCTTGTCAAAAATTTTTAACGAAGAAAGACGACTGTTTCTGTCGCGGGCAGCAGGTGCTGATGAAAGGGCTCAGTATCGCACTAATTTCAAGCAATAATTTCTTAATAATATTCCCTAAGATCATTACATTATACTAGAGAATTTTCAATTGTTCCATAACACCGCGATTGCAGCCATCATTCTACCCACTCTCCGCGAAATCAAGATAACAGAGACTCACAGTTGTCAAGTAAGTTAAGAGAGCAAATGGCATTTTATCAGAGATCTCAAAGATCGCAAAATATAGAATACAGAATTAAAATCAAACAAAATTGATTAAAAACACGGCTGACAACAAATGAGCCACAAACTAACAAATATCGATTAACTCCACAAACTTCAATTGATTTTCTTTGATTTATTTTTAATCAATAATTCATTTTAGAAATACGAAAAGGTACACTTTTATTGTAACAAGATCGGCCGTATTCGAGCATGGCTTGGTTTAATAGATTATCGGCCTAAAAAAAATCAATTAATTAAAGAAAACTATATCATCTCTATAAATTAAACATGATTCAGATTTTATTTAATAATTCAAGTATTGCAGCAAACTAATCTTCATCAACGCTGCAAAGACACATACTAGTCTCAAAGTTCCGAACATTGCGGCACTGTCGGCTTCAAAAGCTTTATTTAATTAACTACCAGGATTCATAAGCCCTATAAGGCGAGTGAGATACAGCAGCCGCTCAATAATGCAGTCCACAATGCTTCTTTTTACCATGCATCTTATGTCATATATGGCCGACCTATACAGTTGCCATAAGCAATTTTTATCATGTTTCATGAGGCATATACGTATGGCCGTCCTACACGGAATCCCTAAACAAAAGCCTTATATGGCAGCACAAGAATGTCTCTTTAACCCTCACGAGTTAACAACCCCGGTGAGGTTAGTGTTGGTAGTACTATGTGCTGCCCCCCGGCCTGCCCCCCGCGTAATGCCCCTAAGCCAGTTCCTGAGATCCACAGACGTGACCGTGAGGTAGTTACTCTCCTCGTCAGGACCGTCAGCTTCACTGCCAATAAGCGGGCGGCCCTCGGGTCCTGAGCGGTCAAACTTACGCATCTTGCCGCCCGGCGCCTTCTTCTTCTTGCGGTTGACTACGCCGTCCTCCTCGTCCATCATCTTCACGATCTGGGGAAAATTCTCGTCTCAGTAGGAAAACAATTACAGAATTCATAACAAATGAAACTGAGGAACGAATGTGTGTTATATGGTAGTTTTTATCAACAACGAATTTCTTATTATTACGCTATATAATAACATTTCCCGTGAGCCTTATTACTACCTACTCAATGGGTATGAAGACAAAGCTTTGAAATGCAGAAAGATCAACAACAGCAAGGGACGACAGATGGGTCACGAAAATTTTATATGGCAGCAGTCCAAAAAAATTCAATCTCAATTCCAATAAAAAGAAAAATTCTTCCCTCAACAACACGTTTCCATAATGATAATAATAACTTAATATGAATTATATGTTAAATGTAATACGTTTCTCTCAGAAAGACTTCGGAATTACCTGTGCCTGGTCGGAGGCGTCAAGAGGGATAACAGAAATGTCGCGGACGGCACGGAATTTACCGCAGTTGTTGATATGTTCGTTCTCCAATCGGAAGAAATTCCATACGAATCGTCTGTGAAAAATTCAAGTAGTTAGAAACATACATGCCTAAATTAAATCTCTCGGATAAATGCAATAGATAAAGCAGGAAACAGGCAGCAGTGAGGAATGAAGACTTTGCTTCAAAAAAACAAGTTTACTTGCCTGCGTCAAGGAAAGAAAAAGGTTTACTTAGAATCAGAACGTAGACATTGGATTATAAAGATATTAACTGAAATTTAAAATACGTTCAGTTAGAATCGTTTGATTTGAGCAGAATTCTACCAGATCATCAAGTCCAACCATTTATATCTATTACTAATTATTTGTAAATCAGAGGCTTTTAGATACATTAACAACTATTTGTAATTCAGGGTAAGCATTGAACGACTTAATGTCCCAACTCGGACCGCAGTCTACAGACTGCCATTAATATATTTAACGCGCGTGGCTGAAAGAAGACGCTGACCACATATACGGCTGCCGACCAGGCGGTCTTGGAGGGTCTTCACAACCTGTATGAGTGGACTATCAGCCCAGACCACGCGGCAGGTACAGACCTGAAGACGTCGAGGGGAACGAGGGAGTACAGACCTGAAGACGTCGAGGGGAACGAGGGAGTACAGACCTGAAGACGTCGAGGGGAACGAGGGAGTACAGACCTGAAGACGTCGAAGGGAACGAGGGAGTACAGACCTGAAGACGTCGAAGGGAACGAGGGAGTACAGACCTGAAGACGTCGAGAGGAACGAGGGAGTACAGACCTGAAGACGTCGAAGGGAACGAGGGAGTACAGACCTGAAGACGTCGAGAGGAACGAGGGAGTACAGACCTGAAGACGTCGAGGGGAACGAGGGAGTACAGACCTGAAGACGTCGAGAGGAACGAGGGAGTACAGACCCTGTCTCTTATACACATCTAGATGNTACTGTAATGGTAGCGTGGTCATAGTACTGTAATGGTAGCGTGGTCATAGTACTGTAATGGTAGCGTGGTCATAGTACTGTAATGGTAGCGTGGTCATAGTACTGTAATGGTAGCGTGGTCATAGTACTGTAATGATAGCGTGGTCATAGTTAGTACCGGTATACTGTGACGGTAGCGGGGTCATACTACTACACCAATATCGTGCGTGACCTTGAATCAGCAAGTTCACCGTTATTATATTATTGCAAGAATACCATGATCAAAGCACCGCGCCAATTGCCCTTATCAAAGCACTGCGGCAATTCAGAATTGCCGCAAGCACAGTTTAAACACGGATTGAAACAGAAATAAAATTAAACAAGACACATGATAGAGGAATATGGCAACAATTACAAGTTCCATCGTCAGCCTAATAAGGTTCAAGAAAGAATTTAATTTCGCGGACGTTTTCTAGTCTGAGAAATGACGTTTTTCATCCAGGGTCATTTGCTTGTTTTGGGTGGGTATTATTCTGAATCAATTTAATCAATATAATTAGTATGATGTAGTCATACGCAAGCTCAGTGAATACAGCCAGCCAACAGGCTCGGGGTGGCCTAGTAGTTAGAATCACCAAGATTGGAGCAGCGAGTTTGTGGTTCGAGACCCAAAAATGGTTTGAAAGATTCTGGTCAAAATTTGCAAGGTTACCTGGTGGTTAAGAATTTGCAAGAAACCAACATGACCTCATCGAAGCTCAAACCTCTATTTTATATTATTCATTATTAACTCGATCACTGACACGTGATACTAAAAAGACTCACTGGACTTGAGTAGACAATTTCCTCCCTGAGGAACTTGTAGTCGCCGCAGTTACTCTCGAAGACGCCCCAGTCCATGCGCAGGTCCCACCAGAGCACGAAGCAGGAGCTAAAGATGCGCGACACAACCAGCATGTAGAAGAATGGGTTCGCCGTCTTGCTTGAGTATTGATCTGCGCAAGAAAAAATGCCGTCAGCTATGATATTGCACGAGCACAAGCTCAGCACTTTGAAAATAAATAACTTGCAGCATAAGTACTTGACCAATAACTAACTTCCGCCATAACGTCTACAGTAACGTACCTATTTCACTAACATGGGTGCGCACTTACTCCCCAGCCTATGTGTGCGAAGATGCACAGCGACTAGGTACACAGAGCTGGTTAAGTGCACAGCGATTAGGTACACAGAGCTGGTTAAGTGCACAGCGATTAGGTACACAGAGCTGGTTAAGTACACAGCGATTAGGTACACTGAGCTGGTTAAGTGCACAGCAACTCACTAGCGTATGTGTAGGTTAGATGTGCGAAGATGACGACAAAGAAGGTGGTGGCGTACTTGAAGGCGTTGGCGAGGTGGGGAAATTTCTCGCGCGTGTCCTTGTACCGCCGGAGGCACTGCGCGAAGCGGAACCACGCGGGAAGACACGACACAACCGACGCAATAATGCGTGTTGGGTCCGAGCACTGCTCAGAGTCCCCTGCCCAGGTTCATCACGAGCCAAGGGTTAGTCGTCACTAATTTAAAGCAATTACGCTCAAAGGCTGAAGTCATAAGAATTTTTGACAGTTAATGTATAATTATTACGTACGTTGTATGGCTTATCATAGGTTATAAGATGATCACTAATCTTCATAGTTACAAGCAAAGGTTAAAGTCATGATAATTTTCGACAGTTATTGTTTAATTATTACTTTTTAAAAGTTATTACGGGTTCTGAGATGATCGTCAATCATACTTGCACGAATGTGATCAGTATGTAAAGCTCAAATGTGAATAGTATTTGACTAGAGTTTTGCGATATCATGACTGTATCAAAGTTTAAGATCCAGGCTTGATAAGGTGCTCAAGTACAATATAGAATACCCATATATTCTTCTCACTAACATGTAATACAAAATTACTATTGACTCTTATTTGAAAGATATTTAAAATTATTTGTTTGGGCATTGATATGAAAATGAAACTAAAGTGTGCAATCTAAGTTTTCGCACGAGATGGGCCCAGTTTTTGGCAGGAGGCGGGATAAGCCGAGAAACGCTGTACAAATCTGTGCGCTTAGTTCTCACCGCAGGCAGCGTGTCGCCAGTCGATATTGTCGAAGGTGTAAAAGCAGAAGGTGTACTCAAAATCTTTCAGGGCAAATACTAGAGTGTTCAATTGGTCCCCCAGCCAGAAGTCAGCGAACTGAACGAACGCAAAAGGTGCCACAATAACACGGCCCTGTAATAAGATACGTTTTCTTTAGACAAGGTTTAGGGTGACGTCGGTATGCTTAGCAAGCATTACGTGAAGAATGTTACACCCAAGCAGGTACTGAGCATCTTACTACAAGACCTTCACAGATGAGCATCGATATCGTCATCCAAGAAAAAAAGTGGATGGCGATATGAACAATATAATGGAATGATCGACGCAGATGGGCAAGAGAACACTCCAATGAAATAATCAACGTAGAAGCCGATGAGAACACTAGGTATAATATGCACTATATGAACACTATAATATTAACGCTATAACATCAATACTACAATATGCATGCAACTGAACATCATCACCAAACAAAAGTTAAGAGCGCACTGACCAGTTTCCTGATGAGCCAGAAGCGGGCCTCGTGGTGGAAGGTGTGCGATGGGTTGAACAAGAAGGCCATCATGAAAAACACCAGCGAGATGGGCACGCTATACGGCGGGATACTCAGGTCGTCAGCGTACAGGAATCCAAGTAAACTAAGTGCCCATATAACGCCTGCAACACCACACACCACAATCATCATAACGATCATGTTCGGCAGTGCTGTGCAAACATCACTTACAGAGTACACATCTGCGCTTAAAGTGAAGTACAGAGTACCTACACATTGGCTGTGCTTAAAGTGAAGCCTGATAAACTATGCCCATATAACGCCTGCAACACCACACACCACAATCATCATAACGATCATGTTCGGCAGTGCTGTGCAAACATCACTTACAGAGTACACATCTGTGCTTAAAGTGAAGTACAGAGCAACTACACATTGGGTGTGCTTAAAGTGAAGCCTGATAAACTTATCACTCGTATCAAGCTTGAATAAAAGCATTAAGCAATGCAAAAAAAAGAGACGCCGATACTAAATAAACAAACCTATAGGCAAATATGAGTGAATCGACACTAGAACTGGACAAATCATAGCAAATGCGATCCTATTAATCCATGGGGCTTCAACAGAATTGAACAATAACAATTCAAATGTTTTTTCCATAGTATCAATCATCGAGAAAAAGTTATCAATGTCTAAGAGATAATTATCATAGGTTGTTTAAAAGACATGCAACTTAAACATGGTCATAATCATGATCTTCACATAGCACGTACAAAAACTACAGATAAATACAGATAAACTACAGATAAATACAGATAAATACAGATAAACTACAGTGGGGGGAAATAAATATTCGTACACTTGAAAAATCGTATTTTAATGTATGTAAGTACACAAACTTAACAGGAAAAGTGATTTAAATTACTACACATTGGCTGTGCTTAAAGTGAAGCCTGATAAACTCATCACTCGTATCAAGCTTGATTAAAAGCATCAAGCAATGCAGAAAAAATGAGACGGGGACACTGAATAAACAAACCTGCAGGAAAATATGAGTGAATCGACATTAGAACTGGGCAAATCATAACAAGTGCGAAGCCTATTAGTCCATGGGCTTCAACAGATTTGAACAATAACAATTCAAATATTTTTTCCACGGTATCAATCATCGCGAAAAAATGTTAATATCAAATAGATAATTATCATAGGTTGTTTGAAAGACCCGCAACTTGAACATATCATGATCTTCACATGGCACCCAAAAACTACACACAAATAAAGTAAACTATATGCATCGTAAATTACGACTAGCATAAATAAACAACAATGCTTAAATTGATTAGGAGATATCTAACCGAATATCGCAGCGATCTCGATGAGATGTTGTTCAGTCAGGTGGTTTCTTGGATCAATCTCGAAAATAAGTACGTGGTTGACTCCCGACGACCGCCATCCGTAAATATTGATGCCGATCAGGAACAAGAAGATGATGATGAGCAGAGGGCCTCTGAACAGACGCACGGCCACCCACACGTTCGGCTGCGAGCTGTCCAGGATACCTGGGCGCACAAGTTATCAATTCAAATACCAGCAAGGCAATAATTCTTCTTAACATGAAAAGCATGAAAATATTGTAGATATATGATATATTATCTTAGTATCCCAAGACGTTATTCAAAATTGGAACAAGTTACCCTATATTTCATATGAAGCCGAACATCCTATAAAGTGTTATGTAATGGGCTCGCGAATCGCAAGTTTATGCTGTGAAATCTTCAAGATTGAGGAGAGATACCAGTATATTAGTGACCAGCAGTCTTGATGAGGAAAATACTGCGAGTAACCACTGTTGAACAGAGATAAAATTCCTTCCTCACATTGATTTTCCACAACACTTGCTAGCACATGCAGCGGGCAGTTACAACGAAGGAACGAAATAGTGTGCCAGTATATATAAGGCAGCCACTACAAACATCAGAACGAAAGCCGATTGAAAATGAACGGCTATAGTCTCATCACACAAAATTTCGATGAAAGTGATAACCTACAATAGAAGAAAAAAACAGTGAATTAATAAAAACAATAAAATGATCTTAAAATTTACACCAGACCAAACTTAATGGTATACTGTAATTAGAACACTTTAATGAAATAGTAATCAACGTGAATGATGAAACTAACATTAGAATGAAGTGATCAACATCATTGACAATACGGACACTGCAATGAAATACTTACAGGTAATTAGCGTGGATGGTGAAAAGAACCCTACAGTCTACATAGATAATGATACGAACACTGCAACTTAGTAAACTAACATGGGAGGCGATACGACACTTCATTGAACAAATCAACGTGGATATACGATACCTACTACATTGAACAAATCAACGTGGATATACGATACCTACTACATTGAACAAATCAACGTGGATATACGATACCTACTACATAGAACAAATCAACGTGGATAACAAAAAGGAACACCAGCAATCAACGTGGACGGATAATCTGACCAGACAGTAGGACGGCGACAAGGAGGACGATGAAGGCACCCGAGAAGAGCCCCACTTTGAAGGTGGTCCAAGGGCTCTGTGCCTCCCCCAGGGGCGGCACCCGCAGCCTCTTCATCGCCTTGCCGCGGTCGCCGGACTCCAGCTCAGACGTGAACGTTCCTTCCACCTGCCGACCAAATAAACACGTTATCATGAGATCACATTCATACTTTTCGGCTCGAAATATGATCCATTTGATCTTAATGATAATGTTTTTCAGAATGACGATTGAAGTTACACAATTGAGCGCATTGTAGTATTAGAATAAGCTGATGAAATCACTGCTCTTTATGCATATACGACTGCAGCACAATAGGAGCCGCTATTTACGTGTGGACCGAACTGGCACGATACAGAAGGAGAGTACTCGTTCTAATCAATGTTTAAATTCACGATAATTAATTTCAATCCTTTTCTCAAAACAGAAAGTTATCCACAGAAGCTCGTTTCACCTCGCCAATAATTTTGTCCGTGTCTTTGTCCAACCGAAAGTGAACCACTTAAGCTCGTCTTACCTCGTCTACGAGTTTATTAATTTCTTTGTTCAACCAGAAAGTGAGCCACACGAGTCCTTCTCACCTCACCGATGAGTTTATTAATTTCTTTGTTGAACCAGAAAGTGAGCCACATGAGTCCTTCTCACCTCGCCGATGAGTTTGTCAATATCTTTGTTGATGACGAAGTTGCTGCTGTCAACGTTTTCCTCCCGCCAGGCGCTTCCGACGTGTGTAGACAACAACTGCAGGGATATGTTTAGATTTGTGACTTTATGCTTCCACAAATTGAGGAAAAATGCATTGAAATATATTGGTAAAATGATTGCTTTGAAGTTTAAATCGTTTTTAGAAAAAACTTATTTTTTAGGACAAGTATGATCTTTAAAAGCCATTTGATGAATCGTGGTGGATACATAGTTCATACACCCAGAAAAATATACACAGTTTATACTTCGACGGCTTTTGTGAATTTGAAGAAATTTTGAAGTAAGACTACCATCACTAAGAATGCACGATATTTAGAAAAATAGTAAATAATTGTCTGACAAAATCATCATTTACAAATCAGAATCAAATCTGATTCAATCAAAGAAAATTTTTAAGCTTATTGACTTTATTTAGGCTAGAATATAACTGTATTCTCATAAGTACACAAAGTGATTGTGACAGACCTTATCATGCTTCTTTAGAATTTTCCTGAAGCCTGTAAAGTTGAGATTCTGGTAATTCTGCAGAAGGATAAGACTGAGGTAGAACTCAGAAAACGCTAACTTGAGGTCCTGCATTTTCCTTGCTGGGACGTTGATGCGCGGGAAAAAATCGAAGGGTTTTCTCCTTATGAGTCCTTCTCCATGCTGTTCTTTGGAGGCTTGCAGCTCCGAGTTTAATGTGTTGAATTTTCGTGTAGCCTCAGCCATTTTTTCTATAGGAATCACAAAAAATATTTTTTAATATCACCATTTGTCTTTTGACCACACACAAAATTGAAAAGTGAGGAAAAAGTACTGTGAGAAATTAGATTAACAGATTTGCGTGAATTCACATGGGCTATGTATTTAGCACTTGAACATTTATACACACATATACGGTATATCTTTATCAATTATGAACAACTTTCAGTTGATGAACTTTTGATGAACTGAGACCATAATTCATTTCAGGACAAAGGAAAATGTCAAGCACAAGTTCTATGATCTTCAGAACAGTTAAAATTGGAACCAACACACATTACTCATGAATATGATATTCACTAGAACTTATCAGATCATGACACTTCACCTAAGCAATCTGAATTTAGCTGTGGAAATACTCCTACAGAATTAACATGAAAATTGTTACAAAACTAGTCATTCCATAGATAAACCTTTCATTTGAAAACTGCATAACTTATGGAAAAAAAATGCAATGCTACAATTATACCAGAAGGCAGAAACTAGAAATCAAGATCAAATTCTGGTATTCTATGCAAGGACACAAATTTAAATGTTTCTATTAATGAAAACATTAATTTTTACAAGATCAATAAAAAAATTTAATCAGAAATATCTGAACTAGGAGCAAGCTTACCAGAAAAGAATGTGTTGATTTTAGCCAGTTCTTTGTCACAAACTCTGAAGAACTGCTCATCAAAGCGTGCATAGTACCGGTTGATTATGTCCTGCTCTGTTACTTCTGACGAGGGTGCCTGCTCTACAGCCGCATACAGCATTGCCTGCACACAAGATTGCATCATAAGATTTATAACTTCCTGGTTTATGATAATAAATTGATGATTAATTAATATGTTTTAAATGGGGGATATAGTAATTTTAAATGTATAATCATCCCAAATCATGTTATTTGACAGGAAATGATTACTGAAACATTGCACAGAAATACCGGTATCTTGTTTAAAAACGCACAATTTATGCATATTATATATACTTAAATAAATTATATGTACACATTAGAAAGCAATTCACAAAGTTCTCACTGAATATCACATTGAAATAACACTCAAGCTGAAGATACCCTCACAGTGATTCAATTATTGAAGGTCATTAATTCACAAGCAAATTCATAACTGATACCACAGTTTTTAATCTAGACATTGTATAAGAGAAAATTAATGTACCTGATTGGAAATGAGTGCATTCAAAAAATACTGTAATTTTACTAAATAATCTAGAGACCAGCCCATTGTGTTTAATTATTTTGTAGTGACTGGTTATTAGACAATTAAATCCAGACAATAAATGGAAATAAGTTAGGCATAAGCAAAAAAAAATTTCATGGCACCTATCAATAATTGTTTTAAAGCCAATCCTTAATTTTCTCACAAGTTTATTTAGTCAAGTTCTACATAAAGCCAGCCTTACCTTCATTTCTTCATAGCTGATGTATTGCTTTCGCCACTCAGGCGTGATGTGTGCTGCCAAATGCTCAGCAAACTTCATGGTTGCTACCTGGCAAGCCTTGATTTGAAACACCTAATTAGAATATATGTAATTGATGTTTAAACTTTATAGCATGATTTACAGCCTAAACTTCAGAGCCTAGAAAAAAGATCAGTTTTAAATTTTCCAGGCTTGGAAAGTCTAATTGATACAAAATTGATTTCGAATAATTTCTGTCAGGGTACCGTACCTACATAAGATTATTTGACCACATTAGCTGCAGAGCAGACATCAGGTGGCTTGGGGCTTGTCACCGGCAACAGCACGCAAGTTGCTGGCCATTATATGAAAAGGATTACAGTGTTACCCTATCTAAATATTAAATGAAATCTAGTCAAAGATTTTTAAATGCAATACGCCAATGTGGTATGTACACTTGTTAATATATTATCCCACATAATATTTGCATTTTCCTTTGTATTACTGAAATCTAGGAGCCTTGATGTGACACATATTCAATATTTTTGATTTCACACTGCCCAATTGTGAACATTTATTAACAATTAGATAGGAGTTAATTATCTAGCAGGAATATTGTGATTACAAAAATGGCAGGAAAGTTCTCATTGTGGCTTAAAGAGTACCTAGATATATTCCACACAAGCCCCACTTGAACTTCAAGCTGTTTTATTTACCATAAAATAGGGTAATAAGGGACAGTTTTAGTTATTTGTTAATAACTTCTTACCATGATACATTTCATAAACAAATTTGGGCTCATTTTAAAGGTCTTTGCTAGTCCTACTCTATGGCATCTGCAAAAAAATTCCACATGCTATTCACAAGTTGCCAGATGCAAAATGAAAGTGTCCCATTTCACTGTCAAATGGAGTAATAAGGGACTGTTTTGAGCATTTTTTGTTGACAACTTCTTACCATGAAACATTTCATAAACAAATTTGGGCTCATTTTAAAGGTCTTTGTGGCCCAGTGGTTACAGTTCAGAGTACCAAGATTGGAGCAGAGAGGCGTGGGTTCGATCCCAGCTCTGTGTGCCAGTTTCTGGTCAGAATTGGCAAGGAGGCTGGGCAGTTAAGCACAGCAGAACTGGAGCTGTGAGTTGCAAGTTTGAGACTGCAAAATGCTGTAAATTTTCTGCAATGTTAGAATCGACAACAGGCCTACAGCCTAATAAACGCTGAAACCGTTATTTACTTATTTATTTGTGAGGGCCATTGTATAGCATCTCTAAAAAAATTCCATATGCTATTCATAAGGAGCCAGATGCAAAAAAAGCGCCCCAAATTACCCTCGGGAATTGAGTAATCTTTAACACTTGAAATAAAACTTAATTTTAAAACGTTTGAAGTGTGTGGAGTGCACTTGTCCATTACTAACAGTACTCTGAAGTCCTCCTCTTCTTTTGATGATGATGTAGATGTAGAATAAATGATATTTTCTGTGATTTTTACTCATTTTTTTTATTGATATGAATATGATATTACAATATCAATACATTACTGTATTATGGATGTGATATTACTGTATCCATGGACATGCTACTGAGAATTGACAATGACTTTGTCCACTGCAAGCTTCATATCAGCAGCTGTACAGCATTTCTTCTGTATCTGTAAGCTTACAGGGTGGCTCGTAATTTCACACCATTTTAATTGGGTCAGATGAATTCACTTAAAAAAAAAAAGATCATAAAAATGTACATGAAACAGAAAGGAATATTTTAGCAACAACCATCATATTTTTGGAAAAATAAATCACAGTTTAGGTTAATTACTTTCCATTCTATGTTATCCAGTGCACAATTCTATCTATGACATTCTATGCACAATTTTCTGATGACCAATGATGCATTAATTTTTCATCAATTAAATTTTTTCAGTGAGCAAAGTAAATGTAATCAAAATTCTTATTTAATTGATTTTTTTTGTTAACTCGAGCCTTTGCTGAGGTTCTACTGTAAATGCGTTTTTAGGGTTGTCCCTTATTGCCCTGTCATGGCGAAATTGCCACCATTTGTAGCACATTTTCTCATTTATGGAAAAAATGCACTATTGTGCTCGCCATGTCCGTCCATCTGTCTGTCTGTCCGTCCGTCTGTGACCTCAAGTTTTCATCAACAAGAGAATGCACTCTCTGTCACTCACTGCAGTGAGTACTGAGTTATATTTTTTCAAATGAGCTCTGTGAATTCCGTCTATCACATTTTTAAGCCAACACATTTGCAACTTTTATACAAGTAAAAATTTTTAATACAGCAAATATTCTTTTACAATAGACCTTAGAAGATGTACTTTTCCAAAATCTCTCTTTTCACACTTTTTCAGTGATTTTTTAGTCATAGTAACAAGTAAATGTATGATTTCTTAACTTGCTTTGTGCTGCATAGATAGGAAAAATGTTGATCTTTATGACACTATTTTTAGTTCTGCAATATTTCAATTATGGTAGTAGTTAAGTTGCTACAATAGTTCTACAAAATGTTGAAGGTCTTCCCCCTAATTTTCAATTGGCAATTTTATGAAAGTTTGGTCCGTATATACCAGATTGGCTTCATATCTAACTGCTAACCTAGTACTAGTAGGCTGGTAGCTCTAGTCTTCTAGACCAGGAATGGAATATATCTACTTGGCAAGGGCAAGCTGCCAAGCCGCAACAGGATTTCTTGAACCGTGGTTTTATGGGTTTGCCAGCTGTGATTCCATTTCTTTAAGCCATGAATTCCATATCTTGGCCATGAAAAACCATTTACAACTGCGAACTTATTCTTTACAAAGTCCCATGCATGTGTTAGTGTTACCCCACATCTCTAATTTTATCTTAAAAACAGTCACTAACATTGGTCTCCAGTCTCCACAGACTCCACTTAAGTGGCAACTGAACAAGTGATAGTGCAGTCTGACCACTCAGACTGTGACTCTGAAATGACAGCAAGTACGCAACTACGCAATCTTCAAGCCTCAAGGAAATGTTTTGAGTTGACTTATTGTTATTACATTCTGCATGTTATTTTAGCAAGAGACAGGGCATGGGACCATTGAAATAGTAAGTATATATACTTTGGATTGTGGAAAGTTGAAAATTTTATGAAATGACATGTTTGCAATTGCAAAGTGCAAACCACATTTTTTTTAATCAGAGAAAAATCTATGACATAAGAGCTGCAAGATTTCATAGGTACCTACTGAAATTATAGTATAATATTAGAGCTGCAAATGCAACATTTCAGAAAAAATAGGACTTTTCCAATTCCAATTTCCAGCCCTGTAATCTAGACTCTTACAGAATACAGACAGACTGATAGTGGCAAACAGGCAAAGCAGAGAGTTTTTTAGACTCTCCCTCAAGTTCATTTTTGAGTCCTATATGTACACCAGTAAAGTATCATGGATACCACTCATCATACCAGCATTATCAATCATACATAAGAAATTAGTTAAAATCTTGAGTAGATGAGGAAATTTAAAATGAACTGATTCTAAAAAATCTCTGGTTTCTCACTATAGACTCTCACTCACGTGAGCTGAGAGTCAGACAGTAAGAGACTAGACTCGCTGGAAACTGGACTACAGTCTAGCTCCTCTCTACAATACCTAACAGTTTTGTTAATTATGACTGAAGTCCCCACTAGCCAGGCTACCGCCAGGCTAGTGGGGACTTCAGTCATAACTCGGTGTCTCGGTCCAACTCAGTCCTCGGAGTCGGAGGCTGATTCTGAACCTTGACGGCTTGACCTCACCTAGCCTAGGTATAAGGTACCAGGACTCAGGAGTCAGGAGGTAGGTAGTCAGGCTTACAGGCTACTGAGGTTAGTCTAGCCTGACTACCTACCGGTACCTCAGAATCAGCCTCCGAGCTCCGATGAGGCGATGACCGAGTTGCAAGTTCCACCTCTCAGGCTCACACTCTGCACTCACACACCTTAGTAACTGCCCTGACATTGTAATTTATTCCGAAAAAAAAATCATCGAGTCGCCGACTGCGTTAAACTTCAAGACATTCGGAATCCGCCTGGCCCTGGCCGCTCGGCATCAAATCATTCACAGGAGACTAGGAGTTGCTGCGTGGCGCATGAGAAGACGCAGAGTCGTGGACGACGAGATCAAATAATTAGTTGCTTGCTTCTTCCGTGTTATAGAAGGAAAAAAGGTATATAAAAGCAACATCTGCTTGCGTCTTGCAGTAAATTGCAACTGCAAGGGACCTGGGACAGTGGGACCGAGAGGCCAGAGCGCTATCTACTCAGTACTCACGTTCGTTCGCGATCATCGATAATATAGGCCAGAGTGGCCACTGGCCAGACATCCTGACGAACCGCAACTGATGTTGGGTAGTAGAGTACTAGAGTAAATAGACTAGTTAGTAGTTACTAGTAGTAGGGTTGCCAGATATAGCCATGAGAAAAGGCCAATTTAGCGCACAAAAATGCCTCATTTGAAATCAATAAAAAATTCAAATTTAAGGTAGTTCTAACCATTTCTAGTGCATGCATTTACTCTCAAGCCTTTCAGACATCAAAAAATACACCAATTTCACAAAATTTTCTAGGTATCGGAATGGTTTGAAAGTGAACTTATCAATGAATAATAAGGACTATGTGGAAAATATCGTTTCTTCTCGTGGAAATCTATCAACGATTTATTAAACTTTTGCATGACCACATCTGGATTGCATTTAAAATGATCTACCGCCGCAAACTGTTAACCATACTTCCTCTAGAATGTTTCTTACATAATCGTTACCCTGAATCTTTTCTGGTGCATTTTACTCCTCAGCGACCAAAATAAGCACACCCTAATACTAATTGTAGGTGAGAGTCTTCTAGGTGGTGCACGAACGTTTTCAAGGTTTTGAAAGATTTTCATTTAGTTATGATTTACCTAGATTTAAGTTCATAAGGTTTACAGTACTTACTAACATATAATTGTCTGGCAACATTTGTCGCATGCTTTCTACCAGTTCCCCAGAAGCCTAGTATACTGCACCGACAGCGCAAGAACTGAAACTGAGCTCACACACTCAAGTCAACAGTCTACACTCTACATTAATAAGCGTCGAAGCGCAGCGGGATGGCTTTACTTGGGAACGAAAACACCTTCAAATAAGTTGCTAATTTCATTGATATCACATTGAATAATATATAAAATAGCCACCTATGATATTTTAGTGCGTAAATTCAATAAACTAGCTCTGAGTTAGGGAACTTAGCCTAA